TTTCGAGATGTGCCGTTTTTTGTGATTTTTTTCAAAATTTTCAGAAAGTTTAAATTAATTATTTTTCAAAATTTGAAATTCCCAACTCTATAGTTCGGTGTTGTCAGGGTACTCTAAAGAGTTGCAAATCTTGCCACATGCGACTGCTAAACGCGACTGCTAAAATGCTTTTAGTTTCCGAGATGTGACGTTTTTCGATTTTTTTAAAATTTCTCAAAGAACTTATCTACAAAGAAATTCAAAAAATTTTGAAACTACTAACTTGATGAAGATACAACCTTATTGTCAGCGTACACCCAGGCGTCTCAAATCTTGCCTCTTATTATGAATGCTCAAACCCTTTTAGTTTCCGAGAAAAGACGTTTTTTTTTTTCAATTTTTTTTTTCGGGAATCTCAGGTTTAAAAAATTCACAAAATTTTGGATTCCTAACCCTATAGTAGGGTGCTCTCAGGGAGTCTCAGTGGTTGCAAATCTGGCTTCCAAATTTCTCCAGAGGCCCATTAAGTTTTCGAGATGAGGCTTTTAAAATGGGAATTTAAAAAATACCAACCCTGTAATTGGGTGCAGTCAGAGTACACTAAAAGTTTGCAGATGTTGTTTCCAATATATGCGGTTTTTTTCATGAGTTGTAGAAAAATTTCCAAGCGCCGAAGGTGCGTTAATTGCTAGTTCTTTTTATTTGTTTTTGAAAATGTAAAAAAGAAAATCGTTGCCATTATTGTTTTTGCCATTTTGTATTAAAAAATTTTGATGATTTTTAGTAGAAATTGTGGACATTGTCTTAGTAGAAATTCTTTTTGATTGGAAATTTATAGTTGTTTTTGATCTCTTCAGAGTAAGTGGTTTTAACTTGTTGAATTGGTTTTGGCTAAACCAGTTTGATTTTCTAATTACACGACTAAAAGACCCAATCGTTCCCCTGCTTTCAAATTTTTGGCTCTTTAGAGCGATGAACGAATTTCAGCCAAGCCTGTTAACACACGAGATGGCAAGTGTGTTGCAAACCGGTATTCGACATTTAATTAACTTCAGTTCTCCTAACCCGTTTCACTAATTAACTTCAGAAACATTAACTTTGTTCTCCAATCTACACGTGCGTCTTGGTGCAGTACACATGTTTACTGAGAGCATTTCGTTCAACGTTCTTTTAATAGAACAAATATTCACTTTTTTAAGAGTCGATTAACGTTGTTCAGACTCTTATATTGGCCGTATTGTTTTTTTGTTTTGTTTTTTTTTCACAAAAAGTCAGTTTTGAGTTCAGTTCATTTCCTTTTCTTAAGGCAAGACAAACTTCTCTATCGAACAACAAAATTGTAAAGGTCGCCAAAAACATGATCGACTTCTAGTTTTGAAAATGGAATTTAGTTTCCAGATTTCTCAGCGAAATAAAAGTCTTACTTTTTGATCCAGTTTCCTCAAATTGGTCCAATTTTGTCGAAAAAGTTTCAATCATTAATTGGTATAGAAAATCAAAGCGCATCGCAGCTGTCTTTTTTTTTGAAGTTCGAAGTTAGAGATTTTTTTCAAAAAAAAAATAATATAGTTCAGTATTTTGTTTTGTTTACTTGTGTTCCTTGAATCTTTTTCAACTGTCTGTTGGCTATGTTTTTCTTGGAAATTCGCAAGTTGATATTGTTTCAAAAAACAACTCAGTATTTTTTTCTGTTTCTTTATACGCCCTTTCCAATAGTTTGGAGTGACCAGAAAATTACACCCAAACCATACTTCGAATTTCCTAGGTTACATTTCAACCAAGGATTTTCAAAATTAGCTGTTTATTTTTCAGTGTTTTTTCATTACCGGTCAAGTTGAAATCATTTTTTAAGAATTTGTTTCCTCCACTTGTTATCCATTTTTTTTACCATCATACACGGTAATCAGGTATCTGATAATGTTTTGGATCATCAGCGATACCATTCAGCCAAATTTAATTTTGAAAAGTTCTTCCAAGTTTTGTGCAACTCGCAACTCGCTTGAAATTGCTTTTGTTCAAAATAATGAGCCCGCATAGATCTCAATTCATATTCAAGATTGACAAATTGACGTCAAAGAGTGCCTATTATTTTTCTCCGGCTTGCTGGACGCGAAATGCCTGGCTGGTATCTACACTGGTAGTAGCTGTACTATTCAGTCTAATAGTGTAGGTCAAGAGCGGCAATTAATGCTGAAACATTGCCTTAAGAAGCTATTGAAGTCGAGGAGTCCGTTTTTTCGTCTAGCGACAAGTTCGCTTTCTTTCTCTTCGCACTTGCCCGTTTCAAAAAGCGTTTGCGTGCCGTGTCATTTTCGCTGTGATTTTAGGGTCTTCAGGGATATTTAAGTCCACAGTTTCTCGTTGACTAGTGGAACGTAGTTCAATCTTCGTTCGTTTGAGAAGACGATAGTTTTTTTAACGGACGGACGCTAATTCTTTTGCTTTGTATGCAACATTTTTGAGTCGGCATTTTCTTTTTTTTTACAATTATAACAAGTCGAAAATTTCTCTGATAGTACTTTTATTGCTGTGCTTTGACATTGGCCTCTTTTCTTGCATCAATTCAAAATTTGGCAAAAGAGATTTGCACTTGATTATGTCTATTTGTAGTTAAGCTCATCAATAACCTCCCTGCATCTATCGAACTGACTAAAGCCCCTGGGTTGTCTGCATCGGGCTTAAGATTCACAATTTGTTCCCAAGGCGAAGTTCCATAAGTTTTTCATCTAAATTTTATTGATATTTTGATATATGATTTTTTGATGTTATTTTTTCTAGGGAATTATTTTGTCTATAATGCTTTCACGTAGTTTTTCCTTCTCATATTTAACCATTGTTTTTAACCCGCCGTTTGACATTTTTCTAAGTCTATGTATACATTAAAAGGCTTTTTATATCAATCATCTGAACTAGCCTTCCTTTTCTCATTTTGATAGAAAATTTTCAAAATCATTATTAGTTTATCTTCAAGTTCCTTATTTAACCTCCGGTACACAATTTTTTCGCAAAATTTTCCCATGATTATCCCGTTCTGGTTCCAAGTGGACAAAAAGAGTCCTTAATTAAAATCTACCTGTCCCCGGGCTGACAATTTCGACCCGATTGGCAGGTTTATCTACTCTGTCTCCCTCCCATTGCACTCCTTGCACGTGAAAGCTACCCCGGACATCGTGATTTTACCCAAATCGACTTATATTATGAAGCTGGGGGGTTTGTTTATTGGCCAAAGCACTGCTACTAGCCTTGCGTTGATGAGATTTAATGAAGTGAGCGTTGATTTAATTCAATTTGATGGCGAAGCTGATTTTAGATTCAAAAATGGAAGGAGAGGTTTTATTTTAAGATGGGAGTAATTTTTCAACATTGTTCAATGTTCATTTTGTGAGGCTGGAATATATCATCCATGTAATCACTTCATCTTTTCAATGTTTCTTTGTCTTCACTTTCAGCTCTCTTACTGACCATTTTAATAATACCTTTCCTTGCTTTGTTTTTGTAATTTTTATTGCACAATTTTTCCTGTCCTAGTGCTCATTTTCCTATTTTGAGCATGCTGAATTCCAAAATACAGGTGCAAAAGTGGTCTAATAATCTCAATTAATCTAATCAATATTTTATCTTCTGTTTGCTATATGGCATCGAGACAGTCCATGTGTTTTATTGTGCAATAGATTGCTTCGCATATTTAGTACCATGTGTTTTGAAGAGAGTCTGAATCTGATTCAAGTTTGCTTCCATTTTGTGCAATCCATTTTTATCCCCATAATTCCATCAACCGTAAATTAACAACTGCTCCCAATTAAATTGCTTCCTTCTTGCCAAACGTAAATTGCATATACCTTCCGCCCGTTAAGTGACTTAGTACGGATAAATCACGGGAAAAGTACTTTGATAAGTCCTTTTTAATGATCAAAACATACCTCTAAGGCTCCCAAATTGTTTCATCCCCAGCTGAAATTTGTTTTAGTGATCACGCTCTCAAAATTTTCTTCCTGTAATTAAAAAATGACCTTCGTTTTTGTGAACATTTTTAATTCGCTGCTGACTTCCGAGCCAAAAATTCCAAAACTAAAATAAAAAAAGCGGAGAAGATTTGTGTTTTTGTATTCAAAATCCATCACAGTTGAAACTCATTTGCTTAGGTTTAAAATTAGTTCCTTCGTTTCCGTGTGATCGGATTTGATTCTATCCCTCAAACCCCCATTCCCTGCTTCAAACCCGGAAATAACTCGTAGATATAAATTTGTATTTTCTGCCATGTATATGCTGACAATATTGCCTCGTAGGTAATGCACAGTTATACTAGGATCAGAGGACTTAGAGAAAAACTTAGCACCGAATCGAAAAACTGAAAAGCTGGTGTCTTTGCTTGTAGTATTCGTTCGACGTTCGAAGTTTTCTTTCTTTGGCTTACTCTGTTAAATTATTTTTTTTGGTTTTCTTCGAAGTAAGTAAAGGTTTTTCGGACTTTGCTTTGATGAAAAATATCTTGACCAGTATTTTATTATCAAAAATGGGTCCTTTCACATAACCTGTTCAATCAGAGAGTTGTCATATACCATGCAAGGCAAAAATACGTCATTTTATAGTTTTTCCTTGCCTCTAGGCTTTGTCCTTCCGTTTAAAAACGCATCGGAAACGCAAAAAAAATGGTGATATTTTTTTTGTATTTTTAAAACGTCTAAATTTTTCTAGTTTTCTTTATCCAATTCATATTGACATTTTTGCTTATTAACATCAATTTTCTGTTTTATGCAAAAGAAAACCGTTCCGCTGAATTGTTTTTTATTCTAAGACAAAATTAAAGACGCGTCAGCTATTTCGATACAAAGATAATAATGTTGGAATGTTAATCAATTTACAACAAAAGCGGAAAACAAAAAGATTTTGAATGTGTATCTTGGTTATCAAACAGTTTCAGGCAAGAAAATATTCTTTTGTTTCGCTACACACATAGCCTAACAAAAAGGGTCTTTGACTTTGCAAAAAAGAGTAATTATGAATAAAATTTTGAATTTGTGAAAAGAGGGACATATTTGAGGAAATTAATAGATTGGGCTCACTTACTTTGATATTGATAGGTTAGAGTTGGGTGGAATATATTTCTGTCAGTTGTGTCTCGCTCGTACGATCGGTTGTTTACCTATCTTTTGTTTCTTCTTTTTTTTTCTGGCTACGTCAGTTAAGAAGAGTTATCCTTCTTTTGTTAGCATTTGCCTCTCAATCCCCAGAAGCGGAATTGCCTTCGTCTACTTGGAGACTGAAATACACGCGTAAAATGACTTGTTATTTTTCCTTGATGATGTTGATATATGAGCACAACGCGTAACATTTTATTTCACATTTTACACTACACAGCTTTGAGGGATTTTTTCTTTTCCCGGTTGTGCCGCCGACACACGTACTCTTATTGCACTTATTATTACATTTTCAGTACTAAAAAAGGGAAGAAAAGCAGAAAGCATAGATCTTTTCTTGCTCTCAAACAAATATGCTGATTCGGCAAAGGACATAAAGTACTTTTAGCCGTAATTGCTACGATATTAAAAAAACCTCAGACTTAGGGCTGCAATTTTCATCCCAGCTTTGAAGCGAAGGATTTTCATTTCAGTTGTTACTTATAGTCTTACGTGCTTGACGGTTAACAGTTTCACTCAGTTAATTTCCCCTTTTTTTCCCCGTTAAAAATTACTGATTTCAGATTATCTTCCAAGTTAATCTAGAATTTGTTACTTCTCTACCTATTTTAACTCGAGTCGCATAAGTGAAGACAACCGCTCTGAATTAGAAATTTCATCAAGCAGTAGTAGAGTGTGAATGCTGAATTAAAATTGGGGTAAAACTGTGCCAAGTTTTATACTAACTAGACACGTCTACTATTACAATACCATTGGTGAAAGTTATAAGCCCTTTTAGCCCGAGGTCAAATGCCACACTTTTTGATTGCTTTCCGTACTTCTTTATTTCTTTCTTCTTACCACAGAATCCAGAAGTCCGTCATGACATTCCAGATCGAAGTCAGTTTCCAGCCTCGAGCGACAGAACGGCTTATCAGTCGTAAATCCGAACTATTTATGACACTTTTTCTTCTTAAAAGAAGTTATCTCTACGCATACTTTGGGTTGTAAAAGAACTTATGCCACATTTTTAACTGTCCGCTAAGTTAATTTTATTACCATTTCACAAAAAAATAATTATATTTTTTTTTTGCAAAAACTACTGCTTTCTGGCCAAAAAAGACAAACGCGTACTAAATTAAATTTTGTCTTTATCGGGGTGTGTTATTCTTTTAAACTGAAATATCATATTAGCCTCTCCTAATTTAGACGGCTGATCAAAATTTTATTTGTAAATTTATCTTTGTTTTAATGCTGAAAGCGCAGCTTTAATTTTTAAACAGCTTTGATGTTTAAACATTTCGTTTGGCAATGTCAACTTTCATCTAGTAGATTTCCTTCTTTGTTCCTTATGTTGCAAAATCCATGGAGTGTATTTACTGAGTGTAGAACCGGAGCTTTACTTTTACGTGTGGGAATTAAAAATTAATGTTGAAATGAAACTATAATGGTTTCAGACGTTTTCAATTGTACGCAACCATTTTTACACCGTTGAAGCTACAATGTTCTTTTCAACACGGCATATCCTTCGCTTTATATTTCTACTTACTTTGTGACGCCATGAATTTTTAAAAGGCGCGATTTTTTCACAAAATTTCTCGACTCTTTGTCTCAACAACAAAAAAAAAATCAAAATCGCTATTCTGAAAATACAATAACTACAAATGAGTTTTCTATTTAATGAAGTTTCATCATTTGATTGAAATTTGTGAAAAGTCACAAACGCAACTGAAAAAAATTAATCAAAAAGATTCTTTTTTGTTGTTATTATTCCATATTTTTGCCCTACATTTGAAAGAAAATGACAGTTATGCTTGATTTGATGAAATGTTACTGACCAACCAATTTTGAGTAAATTGTATCTCAAGTCTTATAAAGGATATTTTGCTTATTCGCCGATTAATTTGATCCTTAAACCCAATTTCTGTTGCCATATTGATGCTCACTTACCAACTTTTCGGTAGTCATTAAAATGTTACCAATTAATTTTTCAAATTATTTATGCTGAAATGCATATTTTTTTCTGCTTTTATGTTAGTTTATCTCCAGTTTTTACTTATAAACCAGCGCTAGTTGAAAGTTAAAAATGCCTCATAATAACCACATGCCATATTCGTACCAAGCGCTCTGTTCCCCGCTTGCTTCCCGAATGGCGGCTATGAGTGCAGCGGGTGGCCACCACGCCCCTCACCCGTCAGTAGTTGACGAAAATCAACCCCCGCCTCCCCACCCCCACTTCCAGTCAGACTTCGATTCCCTCTGGAAGTACCCCTTCGCTTTCCATCCCGCCATGTTCCAACAGCACTCCACTGGCCATCGCAGTTTCGCAGGAGTGGAGTTAACCCACTTTCCCCCCCATCACCACTCCCCCATGACCCCTCTGAAATATATCACAGCCCATCGTAACTTCAACCCCCACCATCAGCATACGCAAAGTTATCTTATCGATTCCATATTAAATCAAGGTCAGTTTTGGATCAATAATCTTCGCCGAATTGTAGTTTGATGTGTCCTTCGGGATGAATGATGCATTTAATTTTTTGCAATTTTTCGATTTTTCGACTTAGTGCTTAGTTTTGTCTTATAATTTTGGTTTTAGTATTTTAGTTTCTAAAAAATGGTTTTTCAGCTTTGCATCAATTGTTTAAGCGTACGTGGCGCGGCAGCTATTCAATTTGGTTAAACCAAGAATGTATGATACAGCTCAATATAATTCTTTTTCCGCTAAAAAAAGCCAAAACAATGAATTTTGGTTTTTATACTAGATCAAAAATAAATGTTGAAAATCGATTTTTATAAAATCTGCATATTTTCTGTGCCTGTGACCTTGCCAATTTTGCTGGTTTTTGAAATAATTATCCCGTTGTCTTCCTCATTTCAGCTACTTCTCGGGTGAACCCTTCCGGTGGCACCGGGCCCGAAATGGACTCGGCTACCGCTGCTGCCACTCTCGGCAGACGCCCTCTAGGCGGAAACAACGCACACCGATCTTCACTAGCCAATCAGAGTCGCATTAGCGCCGCCTCCCACCACAACCAGACCAACCCCATGCTGCTCAACGGGGGAGGACTCCGGCAACAAAGTGCCAACATGGAAGACCACCCGGTGGCACCCGAGGAGCTGATGCTGCAGTTTGCGACCCAGAATGGAATCGGAACCATGTATATTCCAGGAAGTAAGTAGTTCAAGACGATTCTATGAAAAAGTTTTTTGGTTGCCTCCTCGAAAACAGGAGGTGACCAAAAAAGGTCATACGGCGGGTTCAATTCAATTTTCGTATTGACGTCTTTTTGATTGTGATTCAAATTGCATATGAATTTTTTGAAAAAATCAGTGTCGAGAAAATTTTTGTAAACTAGTTATGCTGATTTGTGATGGAATGATTGACGCTGATGTATGATCTGGATTGTTCTGTAAACCTTTTTTGGTTTGTCTCCCGACCGAATTTTTCTTGTAATGAAACTGTGCGTTTTTTGTTCCGACCATTAAAAATGAGCAGGAACTTTGTATGCGGGTGTGTGTGTGTGTGTTAGTTTTTTTGTTTTCCACGCAAAATCAGCTACCACAAATAATCATCGGAGAGAGTTCATTGGTATATCATATTGAAGCCTTCATTCAGTCGTCATTCGAACAATAATAAAAAGTTTCGAACAAACTCTCCGAGAAAAACAGGTTTAAAATGTTTAATAACTTTTTTTTTAATTTTGAGCTCACAAAACTTGATTTTATTAACAAAAAAATTAATTGTAGATGTTTCTTTCAGCGCTTATTTGACAATTCAAAAAATATAAAACTATTATATAAAAAAAATAAGAAAAAAATGTTTTTTTTTTTCTAGTTTTAATTTTGTTTTCTTCTTTTTTGGTATTCATTTTTTGAAAACAAATAATGTCGATCATGCCTAATTCTCTAATTCTGGTTCATTCACTAATTCGCTACGCGATCATATAGTTCTCAAATCACTCAAGCCACTAAAAACTAACCTAATTTGAATAAAATTTTTAAAACGTTTTTTCCCTATTTTTTATGAACATGGTCGGAACATTCTGCGCTACTTACACAGCAACCGGCTATCCTAGTTTTTCTTTGGCGTTATTTTTATCTCGTGATTCGATTGTTTTGTTTCCATTCTATTCGTTTGGATTGACTCCTTTTTAAGCCCACCCCAGTGCTATCCAAAAAACTATGTAGGATTAGTTTGATTTAACTTATGACGGTTTCCTTTCAATTCCGTTTTTTCATTGGCGCAATTTAAATATTCCAAAATCACTTTTTTTATGTAAAAAATGAGCTAATGTAAGTTTTTTTTAGGAGTTGCAGATTTGTTGCAGCTTAAAATTTTTTCTTTGCTTATTAATTTATGCCATATCTATCGGCTCACTTGCTATATTGCTTGCTGCCATATGTTTTTAGTTGTATTGACTAACTTAGAAACAATCTTTGAAACTTGCGAATGTCGTCAACTGTGATTGATTCGTTTTGATGTAAGTTTCGTGAAAATATTGATAACCATTTTATGAATTTTTTTGGATTATTTTTTTCTCTTTTTGAAGTATTTTTTCTCACAAATCAGCTGAGGTCGAATTAAGTTTTTGACATAAATTTACGCTCATGGGATTTAAAAGAATTGAAAATAACTTTTGACGAGCAAGTTTTGTTCCGACTATTTCACAAAGTGAAGGGAAGAAAGTATGAAAAGTATTACGTACGTTCAATTTTTCAAGAAACTCTTGAAGAGAAATATTAAGGTGACAGTTTTAAACGCGTTGAAACCATTTTTTAATTTACGGGCTTACGAAATTATTCGTAGTGTGGTTTTTCCTAGCACTCATTTTTAAAATCTGAATTTTGGAAATATAAAAGAAACAGAAAAAAGTCTTGTCTTTTGTTCGAACTTAATTTTTTTTAAAAGGAAATTATTCTCATTTCAACTTGACTCCACAGGTAGCTCCTTTTCCGCTCTTTTGTGAATTGCGCAAATCAATTTCAATTATGACTGCCCGTTACTTCCCAAGGACTAATATGAACGACTGACCTAATTATAATAATTGGTTTCCTGACCTCTCTCAGTTTTTTTGGACGGTTTCTTTTCTATTTTTTTTTTTCAATTATTCCACTAAGTTGATGCAAGGCTAAAGTTTGAAAACCCGCTAATGTGTTGATAATGTGATCTTGAAACAGTACCTGGCGATGATTATAATCAGGCACCTCATTCAATCCCCATCGCAGGGTTATTTAATCCCTCTAAGAGGCACGGCACATGAAATACAATATGGGGCTTTACAAAAGATGTAAGGCAAAAAAGTTCATTTTGAAAGTTGAAGTGAATAAATGCATGAAGAGTCCCGTATTAGGTCTTCTTAAGTATAGATTTACTTTTTCTCTTCCCTGTGTATTTGATTTCTGGGTAGAAGTATTTATTCTTTATTCTTTGAGCTAAGATAACTTTTCTTCGCTTGAAGTGTGGTTTTTAAGCTTGAGTCTTTTCGGCATTTTCGGTCTTTTTTTTATCTGCAAGAAAAAAAAACATTTCAATTTTATGCCGATTAAATAATTTCATCTTTTGGTACCCCGTCGGGTCAATCAAACTGATTGATATTATCTACAAGTGACCAACCGAGATACCTAATTGGAATCCATAAGTGGCCAAATGCGAGCCAACTAACAGAAAACTCAGCTAACCGATTATTGAATATATTAACCGTGTCTTTAAATGGCGCTTTTTGATTAGAATTATATCAAAAGAATGATAAGTAGCTATTTAACACCGGTTAAAAATGAAATAATTTTGATCTTTTTGTTTGATAAAATTTTCGATCCTGTGTTTATTCGTAAACTTTTGATAGTGATTTTTGACTTTTTCTCCTAATTGGCTGGCCTGTTTCGTCCCAGTACTTTTCCGGTTCTCACAGTGACTGGGCTCTTGGGCAAATTAGGCAATTGATGAAGCGAACAGAACCTGCTGAAGTGGGTCAACTGATTTGATTATTGGCTTTTCATTCATTTGAGGTGTTAATTAAAATCAAACCCAGTCACCATATTGAGTGTTCGAGGATCAATCACCACGTCGATAATTGAGACTGAAATAGAGAAAAAAAATCCAATTATAGGGCAAAATCTGATTGATTAAAACGAAATGGAACACTGTAAAAGTGATTTCCATTATAATCACCCGCTCTAAGAACTCACAAATTCGTTAACTTCAAAAACTGACCCATCAGCGATTTCAAAAATTGTGACATCCCTTTTTCGGGTGTTTATTTCTTCTCTTGTTATAATTTTTACCAATTAGATGAGGTTGAAATAAAAATCGGCCCTAATAATGAGGCGTTACCTTACTACGGGGTAAATATGAATAATGTCGCGATAATTAGTGGTGAAAAAAGGGAACGCCTTTTTGTTGCAGCCTTATTAGTGTAGCCTTACATCATAAAACCTGATCTTCCACTCAATGCCTTTTGTTTTCTAATCTCAGGGGATAAAATTGATTCCGAAGGTCTGTTCCCCTAAAAATATGTTTAAAATGCAAGTAAAACCTCAATTTTTCAGTCGTTGATGCATTTATTTAATTTTGCAGAAATTCGAGAATGTAGAAAATTTGATTATGACGGATGTTTGGTGTGTTAACTTTTACGATTTGAAATTCTAAAAACTTAGAGATTTTTTGCTTTAATTATTGTCCGATCACCTCTTGATTTGAGTTGGACTGAAATCGGGTGCTGTTATTTTTTTTCTTGTTGTTCTTTGTTGTTTTTCTAATTCAATTTTTAGATGGGACCGCATTTGGGCTCTCCGAGAATGAAGTGAAAAGAGAATGAAGTTGTTACACTTTTTCGAAGTATGGATTAGCTTGTGTTTTTCCTCCAGAAATTTCTAATCACGCGGAGACCAAATTACGCGGCGTTTTTTAAAAATTATTTTGGCTATTATGCGCCCATTTTTGCAGCTTTATTCCTATTCGATTGCCCTCTTTCTTTGAAAAAAATAACCGAATGAAAAATACTATTTTATTGATAGAAAATTCGAAAAAAATGGTTCGGCTTTTCATCTAACCATTTGAGCATAAGTTTCTTTTGTTGGACATTCTGTGCTACTTACGCAGCGATCGTCTATCCTTAATCATTTTGGCCAGATTTATTTTTAAAAATTCAAATCCAGCGAGTGCTTTGGAACCCCAAAATTCCTAAAGCGTATCAATTTGATCAAAGAAACTGAAAAACTCGAAAAAAAAATTAAGGTAATCAATCGTTTTTTTCCTCTTCATGAATTGCTTAACGCTTTTCCATCTTTCAGTTTGTAATAATTTTTTTCAGGCTGTATGTTTTCTTTCATTTTCTGAAGAATATTAATCAGACAATGTTTTTACTAAAGTAGATAATATAACACCAATTTATAAGATTATACAATATTCTATCTAAGTTTTTAATGATGTTAATTTTAAGATTATACAAATTTCAATTTTATCAATCTTATCAATAATAACATTTTTTTTCCAAGATTTAGATCAAATGTTCCTATTGTTTTGTAAATTCGAAAAACCGAAGTAATTTTAAGGCATATCAAACGCAGTTTTATCCAAAGTATGGTTTTTTCACCGTTATATTTTAGGTATTCGAATTTAAACCGAATTGATTGCCAATATATGTTTATCTTGCGACTGCAGTGTTATAAGCTCAGTTGAATATTTTGCATCGCAAGTTGTTTGATTTAGTGCAGTTTGTTGCAACATTTAGGCGTTAGTTCAACATCATATTTAGTTATCACGTTTATATTAATGAAAATAATTGCTGCCTGGAAAAAAGTAGCTTCAAAGTAGTACAAAAAGACGAGTTGCTCATACTTATTTTCGAATACCAAAAAAATATCTTGACTGAAAATTGAGTGAGAGATTCCCTGTTTCTGTAGGACTAATTATCTGTTATGATTCTTTTTTATTTCTAAGTAATTTCGGTCGAAAAGTTAATCATTAGTTTTGGTCTTTGGAAGCAGTAAATAAAATTAATCATGAATTTTTTTTAGTTTTTCGGTTTTTGTTTTTAGTTGTTTAAAAAAATTCATTTTGGCATTTAGGAGGTATAGATTGTCCAGTAACAAAAATTCAAATGGTACAAAATAATTGAACTAGATATTTAATTTCAAAAAGGAATCTTAATTTTGAGGAAACCATAAAGTTCGGAACAAAAATTGTTTTTTTTTCCAAAAAATAATGTTTTTTTTTATGGTTTAGTTGAATTGAGTAGCTCTTCCTTATCGTTATAATGGTAATGCTTATAAACAATGTTCGACGTATTCAGAAATAAAAATGATGGCTAGTTATCGTGCGTGCAAGTCTTACAGAAATTTCCGACCACATTAAAAAAAAAGTTTCTTCTTTTCAAATTGTGTCATTTTTGTTCGTTTAGTGATGAGCATTCAACGAAAGCACATGTGTTTACGAAAGCTCAAATTTTTGGCATTGTCATTAGTTATAGTAAACTGGGCAAATTTGATTACAATTTTCATTTAAAAAAACATCGAAAAATGAGTAGAAAAACACTCTAACTCATCAAACTTCAAAAAAAATTAATGTCTATTAGTTTTTTCTGCTTTTACTTGAAAGAAGGCGCTAAAAAAATTTGGAAGCTTAAATGAAAGTTTCACGGCTTATTTTTTTATATGAAGCTTGCTTGCTCGCTTTTTCTACTCCAATTTAAACTTTAAAAAAATTAAATATGGTTCGAATCACGGCTGAGAGGGCTTTAGTATGATTGTAAACTCGAAGCATACCGATGACATTGCCTGATTTTGCGTGGAAAAGGAATACCAAGTTTGTCCCCATGCTCAATGGTCGGAACAAAAACACTAATTAAGTTAGGCCAATTATTCAGCGCTTTACTTTCTTCTATCTCTGCGGAACTCATGAGCAGCAAAAAAAATGAAACTGCTCCGCTGATGACATCGTAGTTAAATGCATCTTCTGACTAAGAAATTTGAATAAAACTAAAATCAACGCTTAAAAATTTTCTGAAAGAAAAACAAGCATTCTAGTTTGTCATAAACGTTTGTCTGGTATGTTTGATAATTAATCCGTTAATTAAATTTTTGATTTAAAGAAGAAAGCGATGAATTGTTTTTACGCGTGGTGTTTTTTTTTTCGGTCAATTTTTGACTTTTGACATTGCTATTTTGACGGAATTTTTTTTGACATCATCCGCTAGGTATTGTTGTCTTGGAATGGAAAAACAATATTTCATATGTGATCTTTTTGAATAAATTCAGGGGGGCTTAAGAATTTCCAGTTTGGACAATTTGGGACTATTAGTTCGCGTTATATTTCGCGCTATTGCCGCATGAGCCAAGATTTAATTCGGCTTGAAAATCGTTCCAAATTGGTTGAAACAGACTATTTGTCAGAAGTGCTACATTAGTAGGAGCGAGTTTCATCACATGATACTTGGGGGGATGACATTTTAAAATTCTCAATTTTTTTTTAAACTTTTTTTTGAAAAACTCATCTATTTTTAAGCAAATACTGCTACATAGATTTTAAAAGGCATTCAGAACATTCAGGGCTTCGCCCTGATACGAGCAGTTTTGTAAAAATTTTGGTTTCTGTATAACTTCTCTTTCTGTGGGTTGGCTGTGTTTTTTAAGGCATGCGCGTCCATCCCATCTTCAAAAACTTAACCAATTAATGAGCGCTTTCTTTTCATTTTCCTCTTGAAACGCATGAGCAGCAAAAACGAGTAAGTTACTGATGCTTCATTAGATAAATGCATATTTGAACGCTGATATCATTCTGAAAAAAAATAAGCCAAATTTTTGTAAGGTTGCGTCTGGTTTGCTTGATACATAGTTATTGAGAATGATTATTTATAAAGTTTATTTTTGAATCCTGTTTTCTTCGTGAGCTCATTTCACTCAAATTGTATGCCATCGTTTTATAGTTGTCAATCTTCGCATTGAAAAAAAATTATTTTGAAGTTCTGATTAGCATCTCGTAAAAACAGCTTAGGAAAGCAAATTAGCCTTCAATTCTTCCCGATTTGTTTTATTTTTATACATTTGGTGCTCCTTTGATCCCATATGTGGGTCGCATGTGGTTCGCTCAACGATCTTTGTCTTCTTGTTCAACATTTCCTCCTGGAATGGATGAAAAAAAAAACAATTTGCCCAGTAAACAGTACCAAGTAAGCATAATATTTTTGTCTGCTGTACTGCCAGATCGAATAACCTAGTCAAAAAAACTTCGCTCAAATAATCGAAAAGCTAATGAATAGAATTACAAATCATTATCAAGTATATCGAAATTGCATCAATTTTTTGAAGAGCTAAAATAATCAGCCTGACTGTTTAAGATTATCGGACCAAATGTTTAGTTTTCTTATAATAATTTTCCAAGCTCAGAGGTTTCTGTTATGAAGTTCTCGGCCGTTTGAAAGATAAGAGCCTACTCTCCCCCTCTCAAAATAAGCAGAGTCCGATGGCTGATTAGTTGCTTCACCTGTCCTGCAGTTTACCCTGTGTTATAAGTATGTTTGCATTAGCCACCGGGCTATATTTGCAGAAATATCCCCCAAATGTGTACCCCTATATTACTCTGTATCTGTGCCGCTATACCCACCAACGCTGATTAGAAGCCGTTTGCTATAACAATAAGCAATCAGAGCAACTACTTGCTGTTATCTTGGTAATAACTTCTCTGGTCAACTTTTTCTATCTACCTATTTTTGGCATGCCGGGAAGATAAGGTTGAAAGTAGCGCTGAGTTTATAGTTGGTCTCATTTTCAGTTCTGTTGGTATAATAAAGTAAAGATACTGATGCTGTACATCCGTGTGCCAACTTGTCACTTTTCCTTCTCTGCAAACAAAGTACTAACTTTCTAATAACTTGGTCGTTCTTGCTCTCTCTAACTTGACCAGTGTAGATCAAATGTTTACTACCATCTATGTATTACATATGCGCCCTTGCACATTATAATTCTAAAATAGTGGATGATAGATACTGTTTATGAAATTAAGTCGGCCCCATATCGTGAACAAACATCCGTCCTGCTCTTTCATCGACTATTTGCCATCAACACCGTTGCTATCTACAAGCTTTTGATTGATTTGATCTTGATAATTCCAGTATTAATACCTGAAACTTGTACCAGCAAACTGTGGCTCTCTCTCTCTCTCTCTCTCTCTCTCTCTGTCACTTCCTAGAAGAATAGCCTAAAAATTAGTCGCTTTACTAGTAGTTGTTAAGTTTTCATAATGATCAAGCTTATAGTATCTTGGCTAACCATCGAATTCCTAACGATTATTTTTTCATTCCACCTGACAAACTGAATGTCTTGTGATGATCCATCCCTAGATGATTTGTCACTGTTCAAATAAATTGAAACACTGATCAAAGTTTGCGCGTCAAAGTTGGTAATAATTTTACGCAACCTGATTACATCTACCCTAACGAGCTAGTGAAGCCATGTTGATGTGATTTATTAGGCCTAATTTTTGTTTCTTCACCCCATCTATCAATCGGGGCGGGTGTCTTAACTTGAAGAGACAACCTAGATAGAACAAGATTTATTCTCTTCATTCGCCAATAAAACCAGACTCTTTCCAATTTTTCCTTGCTTCTATATTACCATTAATGAGTTGTTTTTCCCTCGACTCTCTGTGACTTCCCTCTTGATGCCATAATTAATGGTGGCAATATAAACAAGCATTGCCGCTCTCAAGTAACGAATTTAAATGCCTGAATATTCTTCACTTTCGTTACCCAATACTTTTCATACTTGATATATCACCAACACTCTTTTGAACTCTTTAAAGTCTACTCGTGCAATCGATGACAAAATAGAATTTGTTCAAGAGTCGAAGCAGTTTGTTGTTGGAGGGAACTTTAGTTCAAACAATCTCGACTTCGCCTGTCAATTTGTCCTGCGAATCTTTCTATTGTTCTGTTGTTTCATCTCAAAATTGACAAAACTTCGTTTCCATTACCATATTTAGATTTGATCGGGACTTACGTGTCTTTCTGTTCCTGGATTTATTATCACTTCAAATTTTTAGTCAACCCAATTATTAGGGGAACCTTTCACAGAGCCTAGTTGTTAAATGAAGATATTTAGAAACTAAGTGGTAAAGAACAGTTTCAGTCAAAAGCCTCGTTATAAACGGTGTCGCTTTATTATCTACCCTTATTTGTAATTGTGCTACTCATTTAAACTTTGAAATTAAGGTCATTGCTCTTTTTCTTCTGGCTGCAATAAAAGTAGACTAATTTGCCATAAATATTTCACAGGCTTCCCATTTGCATCTATCTATAAACATTTAGTCTAATTTTACTTACAGTTTTTAATAGGTAGCTGGTAGCATAACTTTACTTATTGCATCGGCCAAGTTATATGTAATTATTGTGTTTGACGAGTAAATTGTTATCTATGTTTCTTGGCGCGGGTTATTATAAAGATCGAAACTGCCTCGAAAACTCAGTTCGCCCGAAGTTGTTTGTAACCAACAGTCCTCTTATTGGCGGCCAAAATAACCCTCAAAGTAGCCGCCCGTACTTTTACGTAAGTCCCGAGCAGTCGTCGCCCTCGACATCGGGAGGTACTGGAACGACAAACTCGGGTTCGAATCCCTGCGTCGATCCCATTTACTACGAAATCCAGTCTCCCGAGAACCAACTCCTCGAAAAACCAAAGTGTGACCGACGATCAACCGGGTCGTCGAAATATGGAAACCAGGCCAACAGTTGTAGTAACGAGCTGTACTTCGTTTCAGCACCTGGAAACGCTTCCACTCCTGGAGATGACAGGGTTCAGTATGTCAAGGGAAACTCCCCCAATGGTCAGGATGAGTTCGAAATGCAGGGTGGAATGGTTCCAGGGACAGGGGCGGGTGGCAGCATCATCTGGCCGGCAACAGTCTCAAGGGGGTAAGCTCTAAACCTTCACCTAATTTAATTAGCAAAATCACACAAAATAGTTTCAAATCAATCTCGTTCGCTCAAAGTTGTCGAAGCCCTCGAATTACAAATAACGTCCCGGATCGCGTATATATATATATTGAGTTATCTACAGAAAAGAAAGTTCGTGATGAGGGGAGTGTTGTTAGAATCGCATTGGCATCAGCATGTCCGAATTTGAAAAAAAAATTCTTTTTTTAAATTGAAATTGTGGGATTATTAAGTTCTCGAACACTCGTGCGACCCATTGTTTGAACTGTCATCGTAGTTCTGACCAATTATTGTCGAATAAAAATAATCATTTATGCTCCTAATTGAGGCGTCATCTTTTTATATTTTAAAAGTTGACTTTCACTATTCAATTGACAATCAGCTTTCAAATGTCACTTTCAATAAACTATTTTGATTTCCATCTTAATTGAGTCGTTGGTTATCAAAATTATTTTGGGAGAGGTTGAAATAAAATCACATCGCGTAATGACTAGAACTGTAACACTACCTGTCTTATTGATAAGAGATGCTTGACAAGTCCCATTCAGTTGTAATTACGCTTTCATAACCCCTTCCTCGTCCCCTTGATGTTCCCGCGAGTGTGAAATCAAAAACAATACACCCCCTTTGTTTACTTTTCCTTCTAATCATCCTTCTATTGTTCCTTCTCCCTATTTTTCCAACATATCTGAACTTCCGTTTTTACCATTGATCAAAAATATCACCTTTATCTTAATAGTTCTTCACAACAAACTCTGTTTCTAATTTATTCATATTGTTCTGTAAAATAATTTTCATGAGATAAACGTGGAGAAAGATTCAGGAGGAAGAAAATACAGCTTAGAGCGCGTTTTTCTATACTAATCTCATGAATCACAAAGTCTCGCCAAAGTCGAGTGTTGATCTTATTCATTTGTTTTTTTTCCACTTGATTCAATTTTAACCAGGTTTTGCTTGAATTCATTATTTCAATGCAATTTGAATTAATTTTGAATATTCAATAAATATTTAAAGATCAAAATTAACAAGCTGGTTTCACAAAAAAAAAGAAAAAATCGAATTAATTTCCGCGGTTTTTTGAATAGTTTTGCGCACTTCGAAAAAACTAGGTAGCTCCGGCATGTACTTCAAATCACTTTGGACGAACAGTTAGTGATGATTCAAAACAATATAATTTTCAAGTTCCATAATGAAATTTTCACCTAGAACGAAATGTTTTGATCGAAACTTTTCTGCACTACTTTCTAAAACAGCGAGGATAAATTTTTTCTTCAAAAAATGTGTGAACAAAATTTGTGAAATAGTTAAGCCAAATACATTCTGCTGTTTCATTACTTCTAAGGAGAACCGTAACTGATCACCCTGTGCTGTTTATTTCCCAGACTGCTCAGTTTAATGGAGAAATGGGAACAAAGTCTCTAAGTTTGGTCTCAGGGGGCTCCGATATGCGGCTTTAAAATTTTACCCACCGACTGTGATCATAGTAAACAAAGTGCGTCAGAAAAAAAAAACAAAGAAAATTAAGGGAAAACAAAGCATATTCAGACGAGATTAAATGTTTTAGTCGTTGTTTATTTGATGAAAGCACAAGGCCGCTAGAATTGCCGGTGGTAATACGAGACAAATTTTCTTCAACATTTTTTTCCACATTAAAAATGGAGGTTTGTAAAATAAATATTGACAAGCGCTGAAGTGAAAATATATTGCTCCATATTTTATGGTGGCGGTATAACGCAAATGGTGCCTTGGCTAATAAATTTTTATGCGATATAACTAGCCGGCAAATCATAGATCCTCCGAAGCGAAAAGTCACAACAGGGTGGGGCTATGTTTCTTCATAAAACCGGGAAGGTGATTAAAGCGGAAAAAATCCGGCCAATGATTTGTTTAACTTTCTGGCTGTTCTCTTAAAGCAACTTTTAGAGAAACACCGGCTTTACAGACGATCGGCGATCGAAAAAAAAATTTGTCCCTAGCAGCTAGAAGAATATTGGTATACAAATGTTTTTCCGTGAAAATTAGGAACCCGAAATACAGGCCTCATACGAGGTCAAGTTATATTTCATATTGAAGCTTCTTCTGTTGTTATTTGGTCTGCAATCATAAAGATATTTTTACTTTTCAGGATGCTGTCGATTGCTTAAGACTTCGTCAATTTTTGACATTCCTTAAAAAGTCTAAAAATATATACTTAATCGCTAAATCAGATATTGTTTATTAGTTTTTGAAGTCTAGTTCTAGTTTTTGGTCTTTCTAATCACTCACAAAAGAAAAACGACTAAATATATTTTAATTTTTAAAAATTATATAGTGGTTCTAAAGTTTGTCACTTTTGGTTTCTTCTACCGTCTTTTATTGTTGTTACGACCATTGAAAGTTTTTGCATGTTTTAGTTTTTTCCAGGCATAATTAGGGATTGAAGTTTTTTGTTTTAAGTCTAACTTTGAGCTATTTTTTGTAATTATTTAGGCTATTATTGGTCTTATAAAAGCACAATAAGCTTTCGCTTTTTTTTTCTCATCAAACCATTCACAAAAAAAAATGACACAGAATTTTAAAAAAGAACGAACCATTTTTTTTCAGTTTTTCTGAACCTCGTCGGAACTTGTGAGCTTCTTGCGCAGCAACTCTATTTTTGTTTGAGTTCAATTTTGTTTTTTGAAAAAGGATCTTGGCAACTATTTTTACCCTATTGCAAAGGACGCGAACCTCGTTACAAGTCAAGATTTCACATATGCTTAACCGTTGAATTCGTTAAGAATATTCTTTAAAAATTTAATAATTTTTTCAAGTTTCTGCTCAATATATAGAACTAGAAAAAGAGATAAGTATTTTACTTCTAGTAACCTAATTGTTGGACAGATTCACTTGCATGAATTCAATTTCGGTTGATTACGAGTCGAAGTAATTCACTGCTTGGTCTTCTATTGCAAAAAAGTAACGAAAAAACAAGACTGCTCGTATCAGGGCAAAGCCCTGAATGTTCCGACTGCCTTTTAAGGTTTTTTGGAGCACAGTAAATACATAAATATCATTAACATATTGAATGTAATAAAAAAAAATTCTAAAATTTAAAATTTTTTCTTTGAAAATCATCCCCCCACACGCCATATAAAGTTCAAAAGAATAGATTTCGCCCCTATTAACTAATCAACTATGGCAAATAAGCTTCGTTGAACCAATTTGGAACGTGTTCTAAGACGGATTAAATCTCCGCTTACGCGTTAATAGCGCGAAATATATCGCGCGTTAATTGTCTCAAATTTGGCCAAAATGGCAATCTTTAAACCCCCATTACTTTACAAAAAATGATCACAGGTAAAATATCTTTTCAAATTTAAGCTCAGGACAACAATACCTTTTGAATGATATAAAAAAAAATTCCGTCAAAAATGGCTAGTTAAAAAGTCGCAATTTGTCTGAAGAAAAAAACCCACCCCGAGCACAAATATTCCGTTACTTTCGTATCGAAACTTGGAACAATCAATAAAGAACACGACTGCTCGTATATCAGGGCAAAGCCCTCAATGTTCCGACTGCCCCTTGACTGGTTTAGAAAAGCTTTTAAATAAAATTGCAGTAGTTTTTGGAATGCCACATATCAAATACAAAGTTTTAAAATTTGAGTCGAATCAATATGACCAATTAGCTGGCCTCCCTTCAGTTTTGAACTTCACTATTATGAGCTCGGATAATTCGCCACGCATAAATAATTCGCGCATTGAAACTAGGAAATGTTAATTGATCATTTTTTAACCGAATTTAAACTAGTGAAAGCATACGCGGTTGAAAACACGAAGATTTCTGGATCGATCCCCGCACGCTGTCAACATCTTTTGTAAATTGGTCGGAATAGAAAACCATCCCAAACATATATATCTTATCTTCACTTTATTCGAAAAACGGAACAAAAAAGGCACATTATTTAGTCCTAGGTGCCAGTATTTAGAAGTTTAAATCTCTTGTGAAAATAACCATTCACGCAATTTTTCATTCCAACCCTAAAATGGAGGATAAATTTTATCCTTTCCTTGGCGTTTTTCAACGCAAAGGTAAGTATCACAAATAAAAGTCTGACGGACCAATTTTCTTATCAGATGAACACCTTTTCAAGCCAGATTCGAAACGCTGTTTAAAACCTCCAATTTTTTCCGATTGTTAAGATGAAGTAGAACAAAATAGACTTAAACCTGTGCCTTTTGCGTTTCTATCATATATCAATTATAATTTGTTCTATAAATTTTCAAATTAATATATGAAAAAATTATGTTGGTTTGAAGTTCATTTTTTTGACATGCCGTTTGAGCGGGATACCATAATACTCTGAATATGCCATTGCCCAATGTGAACTGATGAATTTGTGACTGACTAATACTGTGGACAAAATTAGTAGTGATTGGCATGCATGGAGTTTTTATCACATTTATTCGGTCTTTGTCTGTGTATCGAAGCGTGTACCCTCCCCTTCAAAATGGATCGGAAAGGTCTCCGGAGAATAACTAAGAGGAAAAATGATAACGCTTCTGCTTTTCACCATCAAGACATCTTAATGACATATTCTATTTTAAGTAGATATTTTTCTGCTTTGAAGCTGCGAAATTTATACCGTGACGTCAAAAACGTGGAAAGATGCTGGTACTTTTCCCTCTTCAGAAATTTTTTGATAACTTTTTTTATGAAAACATTTTTGAAGTTTACGTTCGATTCATTATTTAGAGAATTTATGCATGCAGTTAAAATCGAAGTTAAAAATTTAAATTCACTCGATACAATTACCACCTATACACAAAATCTTAATTCAATGAGACAAAATCTTAATTCAATTTTTTGTGCAGTGTTTCAAGCAAACTTTTTTGGTACGGTTAAAACTGGGATAACGTCAGATTAAGACAATTTCAGGCAGAAAATAGTTAACGATGCTAACATGTTGTTGAATCTTTAAATGCTCAAATTTGTATCTTGTTCTTTTTGTTCCTTTT